CTCTCTCTCTCTCTCTCTCTCTCTCTCTCTCTCTGGAGTTTGTTGGTTGGATGCAGCAGTGTCTCAGTATCTATCGGCTCGCTCGGAAGCAGTCCTCTCTCCCTCTCTCTCTATCTCTCTCTCTCGCTCTCTCGCGCGCTCTCTCTCTCTCTCTCTCGCTCTCTCGCGCGCTCTCTCTCTCTCTCTCTCTCGCTCTCTCTCTCTCTCTCTCTCTCTCTCTCTCTCTGGAGTTTGTTGGTTGGATGCAGCAGTGTCTCAGTATCTATCAGCTCGCTCGGAAGCAGTCCTCTCTCCCTCTCTCTCTATCTCAGTCTGGCTTTTGAGCTGTCTGTCGTCTCTAAACGTTCAGGTGAATATAAAGCTTGGTAATGGAGACAGCCGTGGACCGCAGCTCTTCTTCCCGCCGGTGACACACAAACTAACCGGGCAAATAAGCCTTCAAGTGAAAATACCGGGTATCAACGGGAAAACGGAACCGTGGCTGTTCATCACAGTGACGCTTGCTAGTGTTTCTTCTTCCTCCTCCTCTTCTTTGCTATCTGCGCTTCTTCGGAAACAGATGTCCTGCTCGGGAAGTTACGGACGAATCACGGATAAATCCACCAAGTCGTCTTCTCCAATTGCCAAGAGGCGCTCTCACTCGAAGGTAAATCGGCTCCACGGAGAGCAAAACTGTGGAATTGCTGGTGGATGTTTGCGTCTAGTAGGCAACGTATCGCCCACTGTGCGTATATGTGTGTTTTACATATTAAGTCTGAGTGAAGATGTCGTTCAAAGTGGGTGGGAAGGTGACTCATGCTGATTTCAAAAGCTGTTTTGGAGTCAGTATTTACGCTGCGCCTTTGCGGGGTTAAAAGACACGCAGGCTGTGGGCTATTTCTTTAAAAAAATGTCACAGGCACTGTGACAGGACGTCGGGTTTTGCCGGTGTGTATGTGGTTAAACATGGCAACAGTGGGCGATCTGTCTGTGTGATGTGTGTCTGAAATGATGCAGCTCCTCCTCCACAGTTTATCAGCAATATTATTCGTGACAGGTAAATGCATGCTTAATGGAGGTTTTGGGTGTTATTGGCCAAATTATATTGTGACTTGTCAGATTGGGTTAATAATACGATATTTATCACACACTACGGGGTTGGGTCCCTGCCCCTGTGTGTAAATGAAAGACAGCATTTAGGAAGAGAAAGTAGTCAAATATGAGTTTGAGAGCTTCTGTGTCAAAATAACAGGTAAACAGAAGTGATATGGTGCCTTGAGCTCATTAGTGTATTCTCATAAGTAGTATTTGTTGATCAAATAAAAGACATCCTGTCCTCCCAAGATTTGAGGAATCAGAGCTCGCTCTCCACCACAATGGCAAGTGGCCCAAAGGACTTGTTATGTCTCCTCTGTTCACTGTTGAACATCAAGAGGCATCATTCTGCCGGTTGAAAACACTCCAGCACAGACACTCTTGAGAGGAATGAATCAAGTAGGTTTTCCTTTACCTTTTTTTGTTGCACTGAGAATCGTGACAAACAGAACCGCCACGTGTTTTATGGAGCGGGATGAAAAGCATTGTATTAAGTGGAAGATTAGTTTCCTGCAAATAATGATTTATTTGTGTGTCTTGCAAGTTACAAAAAAAAGAGAGAAATATCTGCCATGTGGACACTGGAGCACCCTTACATTTAGGCCATTTGCAGAGATGATGATTTAGCTCAGACTACCAGTCCCGTACTTACAAGGTCAGTTAATCCACAAACTCAAATGAATCACCCAACCAGCTCTGTCCACTCAGCAGTCACTCACGTCACCCACAGCATGTATGAGCAGGGCCAGCTCAAACATATTGAGGATAGAGAAGAGGTTCCCAGAAAAAAAAGATGCTGTGATGAACATAAATGGACGAGTATGAATAATAAGAAGAATCCGTCTGTCTCTGTTTGGCGTTTTAAATGGCGCATTACCATTAGCTGATCCAGATCCAGCTGTGCTCAGCCCGGGATACTAATGAAGATAAATCAAAAGTATTTTTCCCAACAGTTTAATGTAATTAAATCCAGTGTGGCTAGATGACATGAGACAAATTGTAATCACTTGATGTACTACAACATGTGAGGATCCTTTAGTAGGTTGCAGTGTCTTTCATTCCGTCAAATTAACAATGGATTTAGGTCTAGCTACCCTTTTTGCACAGCTTTTTGTGTGACCTGATACTGCTGCGTTAGTGACCTCAATTTGCTTCGGCTGCAAAAAACAACAACTAGCAGGCAATGCTAACTCATAGCCATTCATGTCTATCTTCCCTCTTTGGCTCTCTCACTCTCTCATCCACTTCCACACACTCTACCTCTCTCCGTCCTGCTGGTATGCACTCACTCAGACTGTGTCTCATCGCATCTCGTCACTCACAGCGGCACTCTGCCCTCTCTGCCTGCCTCTGTCACACACGCACATGTGCGCACACAAAAAAGAAGTGCACCAGCCCACAGCCATGTTGGATATTGTTTGATAAAATCTGTGATCTTTGCACTGATCTCTCATCTGCATCATCTTGTTTCACAATGTGATTGTGTTTATTTTAATTGTTTCATTTGTTGACAATCTGCACTTCTTCTTGAGTTGTTGTTTTCTACTGTACACGATGACCTCTGTGGTCTTAGAACAAGGATATCTGTTTGTTTAAAGGGCGCGTCCAGCTGCGTTCATTCCCTGGTTTTTCAAATGGAAACATCCACTCAGCCGGAAAAGCAGTGATGTAGGTTACCAAAGTAAGCTAATAAATATGGTTATTAATAATGTGAACGATAGCTGACTCAACGTTAGCTCTGCTAAGTTTGGAAATAACTGAAAGTGTTAGTTCAGATTTTTTGAAGTGATGTTGTATGTACCCTTCTGTTCTGCAAGGTACTGTTACTGTTTCTGTCAATGGAGTCTTGAGGCTTTGAAGAGAGAAATATAGTGGTTTCAGTTCCCCGTCGGAAAGCGCCGTATGACGGCAAGCTAAAGTGGCTGTGGACGGGAGTAGCAGAATAACGTATTTACAAAAAAAACATCACTATCAGTTCAAGTGTACGCTATATTTATTGTATTTTTACTGCTTTAGTTTGCCATTAAACAGACATTTTTGACAGGGAACTGGAAAACGATTTAAATGTTCAGAATTGGAACACTGCTGGGAAGCTCCAGAATTATATAAAAACCTAAAAAAAACAAAAAAATGATGGACCCGCCTTGATGTATGTTATGAATACGCATGCGTTTTAAGTGACATATTTTAAGGACCAAGGGAAAAAGGCTCAGAACATAATGTCCAAACCCCGGCGATTTTCCAATGGCAGGCCATCTCTGTTTTCTCTGTGAGGTGGCTTCATTTTAGAAGGATGGTATATTGCAGAGGGACATTCATAATGTATAGAGCAGTCCTGTATTAAATATCTGCAGAGTCGGAGGTGTGTATTCCACTGCTCAGTCAGGGGGGCTAGATTACACCATATTGCATCAATGAAGGGAGGAAGGCAATATGGGGAAATGGGAAACAAATCTCCCTCTTGTGTTTCTGCAGAGAGTGTGCCATGGTGTTGGGAGTTTTTGGAGTGTGTGAGCTCAGTCATAATTAACATTTAATTGGATGCTTTAATGCTGCTGCAGCAACTATGAGTTATAATGTTAGCGTCTTATAGAAAAGGTTAAAGAAAAGAAGTTGATGTCACAGGTGCTGAAGTTCAAGGATGAAAACATAAAAGGAAGTCTGTGATCATGTATCAGCAGACTGAAGCCGCAGAAACGGATAAAGTAGCAGAAATCTATATTTAAACGACCTAACTAGAAAGAGAAGATGTTGTCATTCTCCACAGTTGGAAACTGTGTCTGCAGAAGAAACCAAATCTTTCATATCTCTCTGTCCCTTTTCTACTTTTTTCTACTGCTTTTTAGAAATAGATCACAGCTTTGCATCTATTTACAATATTGTTATAGGTTGTTTTAGAGGAAGAGCCTGCTGCTGTTTTTGATGACAATGGCCATTTTATTCATATATTCATATATTCATATACAAAGTGTTTTACATTTAAAGAGAAAATATTGAAATGTAGTCATAAACATAACAACATAGGTAAATGGAAACCGCTGCACATCATATAGCTGCATGTAACCAACTGCATAAGAAACAAGTGCGACCATACGAGTGCACACACACTCACACACAGATTAATTAACCGTAAGCATGGGAGAATAGGACAGTTTTGAGTCTGCTTTTGAATGTGGACGTAGTTGTGATAAACCTCAAGTCCGGACCACAGTAACTGGACGAACCCTCACTGGACCTGGATCCAACTCTAGGTACAGCCAGCAGACCTCTGCCTGCTGATCTGAGAGGCCTGATTGGGTTATAGTCAGTGAGCAAGTTACTTAAGAGTGCTTTATAAACTATTGGATATGAGAGCAAAATATAGACATCACATTTGTCCATTTACCTTCGATAGCAGTTGTTAGGTTTCTCTAGCAATGGCAAAACTGAATAATTCACGCAGTGAAAGTGTAAAATAAACCTCCTGTTTTGCTCCTTGTTGGCAAAGGATTATTTGCCGTTTGTAAAAAAGAAATCCTATCCTGTGGGATATTTGACAACAAGCAAATTTTCCTTATTGTAAGCTATTGAGATGCAAGAAAATCATCAAGAATGTTATACCTAAACCGGATTATGCTAAAAAGAAAAGTCCCTTTGAGTAATTTGTTTAGGAAACTGCAGTGATTGCCATCAAAGATAATAGAACTGAATGAAAGAAATGTTTGTCATTCAAATTAAGTCGTTGCACAATTTGCGCCCATCTGCTGATTACTCAATGTAACACTAACAGTCACAAAACAGTGTGTAATTTTTGAAAAATGAGTTTGTCGGTGTCACTGCTGCAGTTCTTTCTCCTCGTTTTACTTATTTTTCTCTCCCTTGCTCTTACCTGTCAGACAGTCACATTTCAGATGTCATAAGCACAAACCGGCTGATTCTATCTTTACTTCAAAGTAAAGACTTGGCAAGAGGTGGTGCACCCCTCCACCTTTCCAGCTTCAAATACAAGCAGCGGAGTGTGGCTATAGCTGACATGAAGTAAGACACTTTTGACATCAATTAAATCCCAGTCTACGAGTCAAAAACCCAAGACCATCAATTCTAATTAAGCCTTACATCTCACTTCCCCGGAGGTGGCAGGCGTCCGAATAGGTGCCAAACCCTCTTTTCACCTACCTCGCAGCTAATAGCCATGCTAGCTGTGCTGCTCTGGGATACTAGGGGTTGGCACAGGTTCAGACTGGCAAAGAGGGAGCTTTTGTATTTCTGCACACAGCATGACGTGCTACTATGTTGTGATGCTTGTTAACGCTGCAAAAATAATCAGTTTTGTGCACCTACAAGTCAAGGATTTAGGGAGGAAATACAACCCACTTGTCAAACAGAAGGATTATAAATTTTATTGTTAATTCATCGGCATTGTTTTTCCATTGATTACTTGTAAGCAAGTACAACACTTAAAGTTAAGGAAAGATAATGTTTGGTTCTAAATGTAATGCTAATCATTTCATGAAAATGTCAGTTGAAAACCATGTGAGGATCTTGGTCAGACATGGTAAAAGATGATTTGTGCCAAGTTTGCATACTGATTTG